TATTCTAACACTGAGACACCATATAAATATCAAAACTTCCATTCTTATTATAGTAATTAGCATTAATGGCATGTATGCTAAATAATGTGATCATCTTATGTTGACAGTAACGTGAATGAAACCACCTGAAGACAGGAGAGCTTGTGAGTATTTTAGCAGGCTCTTCCTGAGCTTGCTGGTATGAATAATAGCCAAGAAAGAATAGTCAAAGAAGATAGGTGTTACTCGTTTGTGTGATTAAAAACTGTGGTGGTGGCTGTGGTTATGAAGCACCATAGGTGGAAAAGGACGTGTGAATCTATTCCATTAATAGTATGTAGGCTGATCCTAAATGTGTCTTTGAGCAAATAGCATCAAACAACACTGCTTTAATTTCAGATTTTTTTTTTCCCATTCAAATACAGCTGATCCTACTGCTCTGGGATTCATCATTTCTCCATGGTCTCTCCTGTTGCTTCCATCTGGCAGCGTATCATTTACTGATGAAAATGTCACTCAACAAGACCTGCGAGCGTTCACAGCACCGGAGGTTCTGCAGAACCATTCTCTATCATCTCTCTCGGATGTTGAAAAGGTACAGTACCTCTTCCTTGGCAGACAGCTGTTGTCTTTTGCTGTTGATCGTTTCACAAATTAGCTTTAAACTCTGTTTCTTGATTTGTATGTGTAATCTTTGATTTCTATTGTAAGACGGAGAGGGATCCCTCCTACTTTGTAACAGTGGAATAGTAATTGTGGTTTTACGCACTTAAGAAGTGTGTGTGTGCTGCCAACAGCCATACTGGGGCAATGGCAGCACAGAATGACTGACCATCAAACTAGTAGCAAGCAAAAATTTGCCGCCTTTTATCTAAAATATTTTGGTGGCATCAATAATACTAATTTTTTCAAATTCTTTTGGCAAAATGCATCTGAGGGGTAAGCAAAGGAATTACTTACGCAGCCCAGGGCTTCAAAAAAATGGGATATTCCTACATTCATCACAGGAAAAAAAAAGTATGTTTTAATTAACATCAGTATTCTTCCGTTGTGTGCAAAATTGTTCTTTTCCCTCTTTTTAACTCTTCCCCAGGGGTAAATGGTCAGGCAGGTAGGGTTTGTATGTGTGATCTCCTCCAGGTCATTGATATGCACAATGTTGTTCAGCCTGGAGAAGAGGAGGCTCCGAGGAGACCTCATTGCAGCTTTCCAGTATCTGAAGGGGGCCTACAAGGGTACTGCGAGAGGACTTTTTACAAGAGCCTGTAGTGATAGGACAAGGGGAAATTGGTATAAATTGAAATCAGGGAGGGTTAGATTAGATGTCAGGAAGAAATCCTTCACAGAGAGGGTGGTGTGGCACTGGAACAGGTTGCCCAGAGATGTTGTGGATGCCCCATCCCTGGAAGTGTTCAAGGCCAGGCTGGATGTGGCTTTGAGCAACCTGGTCTAGTGCAAGGTGTCCCTGCCCATGGCAGGGGGGTTGGAACTAGATGATCTTTAAGGTCCCTTCCAACCCTAACCATTCTATGATTCTATGCACAGTCAAAATGGGTAGCTTCTCGAATCTTTTCTTGACAATAATTTGTTGCAAATGGTAACGCTTTCCCCAGAGAAACACTCCTGTGTGAGTAAGAAGGAAGCTGATCTGTATTTCCATCTCCTCGGCTTCCCTGGATTGCAAATCCTTAGAGAAGGAAGCTAGCCACAGCCAGTGTTGTGATCTGTGAACAATTAGGATGTTTCGCAGTCTTCCTCCAGGAAGAACAGCAGTGTGCTTATACTCCAGAGGAAACTGGAGTTGGCATCGATTGCTGTTGTGTACACAAGGACTATTAAACCATGTTTTTCTGTGTTGAATATTTTGTGTTGCAGCCTTTTTCTTCTAAACTTTGTATATAGTCATTTTTCTTTGGGACAATATCACCAAATACCTACTAAAAAAAAATGTTTCCTCAGTTACTCTAAGCCCTTTAGACATCCTCTTGTCCTGCAGTATAGTTAAAATTAATGTTATAATTAAATATGCATATATTTTTATCTATGACAAAACTATAAATGGTTAGCAACCTAGGCTGAAAGTTGAAATAGAGGAGCAAAGATAACACTGACATTAATGCAAGTTTGGGATCGGTTATGTAGGATGCAGCTGCCAAGCTCTGTAGTCATACTGTTGGAATTTTGTCTTCATTAAGAGAGGCAGCACTGTTGAAGACAGTAATGTTACTTCAGTGCCAACTCTGTAGCTAATATACAAAACAGGCCTTTAAAAGCATCAGAAGAAAGCTTTGAAATGACATGTTTGTGACCTTCATCAGAGCTGATTACATTCCTTATTCTCTGACAGTATTCATTCAGTATGTTACTTTTTTTCCTTCTTGAAATAAATAGAGAAGTGTTACTATTAAGTCATGATATGCTGTTTCTTGATCTAAATTTTTAGGAAGGAAATTCTCAGAGGGACCAGTGTGGCCTGTAAGCTCCAGCACAGAGCATATCAATAGGCGATGGCCGAATACTGGCATTCTGCACATATGCAGTGCTGATTAATCCTCTCCAATTATGGCTGCGTGTATTTGTTTCATGATACCAGTATAACCTTGCTTGCTGGAAGGTGATGACAAAATTGAGACTCTAGTATGCGGCAACTGAGTTGCTGTTTTCATTGGGAAACAATTGGATGTGCAAATAGACAAGCTTTGGCTTTGTTTAAGCAAATTACTCATACAGTTGCCTATAAATGAAATAAACCCCTTTAGCTTATCATACTGAGCTTTTGCATTAGGTTGAAGCTTCCGGCTTTGAGCTTGAGATGAATTAACCTGCTTTGTGTTTGAACTCTTCTTGATCTCTGCATGTGTTTTGCACACACGGATGGCATGCAGTTAACTCTCCTGATAGCCTGGGATAGTGCAGCCTTGTCCTAGTATGGCTTTATTAGTTGGGTTTATTAGGGCCAATAAATAGCTTATATGTGCATGCTTCTGTTTGGACTCTTTCC